AGTTGTAGTCAATCAGTAATTAAAGGGCATACGAAAGGAGCTAAATAGTGACAAGATTGTAGAGTGGCTTTTTCAGTCTTAACTGAGCAGTTTTTTAATTAGTAGCTAAAATCATAAAGGCAGTGTAACATGCTAAGGGAAAGGAGGTGTTGAATTTTTGTGGAACAATGTGAATATACATTTTGAAATTACAGGAAACTGAATAACTGCAGTTTCTTTGTTTATACTGACCTTTGCAAATAAAAATGTTTAGTAAGTATCTTGTTGCAGTACTCATACTGTATTAGAGGGTATATTTCTTAAGAACGGTGACTAATGATATTAGTCATCTTAAACTGGAAATGATTGGCAGGAATGGGGAAGTTCAAGTGTAGCAATACAGCAGGTGTTAGGAAAGAAAGTGCTAGCACAGTGGACATTGCTTTCCTCATATAATGCTCTTACTGAAGCTCTGATTTTGAGTCTTATCAAAGGTTAGATAACTTGTGCTTGATAAAAGCTTAGCAAGTGATGTTTTGAATACTACCTGGAAAAAAATGGCATGTGGCTTATTATTGAACATGTTTGTGGACCTGTTCCTAGAATGAGATCTTTCTTATGTTACAATGGCTTTTTTTAATGTTCTATGAATCATTATTTGGGGGTGCTCTTGATAATTGCTGAAATCATTACCATGGAAAATGGTTATTTCTGAGTTCATGCAGCAACATGATCAGAATTATTGTAAATAATACATTATTATAATAATTTGCAAAAAGTATTGAGGGTTTAATTTCAAGTTCTTAACCATACTCTCTTATGCCTAAGCATTAAAAACAAAGTATAAAAAAATTAGATATATTTAATTTCAACTATTTTAGTTGAATTTAAAATATCTAGAAGTTTCTCTTGAAAATAAATGTAATCTCTTTGAGTTGTCACCCAAAAAGCTGAGAAAATCTAAATACCTTCCTCAGCTGCCCTTAATCAGTAGTACTTCCCTTCTCACAAGCCCTGAGTCTGTGTATAAAACAATGGAGACTTTAGGTAAAGGAACATAGCATTAAGACCCCATAACAAGAATAAACCAACAGTTGATCTGTACAGATACCAGACCATCACCGCACTCACAGTATCTTTGTCCTTTGTCTCAGTTTCCCCACCTGCATTTGTGAACATTCAGCGGACAACACACCTTTCACATGCTACTTTCCCTCCTTCCCCTGCAGTCCAGGCATGCAGGACGGTGGCGTGGGGTTGTGCTCAGACACGCGTTGCCAGGGTAGTGCAGAGCTTGCAGCAGCATGCAGCTTTCCTGCATGGCCACACTGTGCCCTGCAGCACCACACGTGCTGGGCCGTGGTGTGCGAAACGGGGCTGTATTCAATTTGGATTCAGATTCGGCCTGAATCAGGGACAGTGATTTGAATAGTTGATTCGGATCACTGTCCCCAATTTGATTGGGCCAAATCCAAATCTGAAGATTCGATGCTGATTCAGAGAATCCATGATTCGGCCATAGACACAGGCTTAAATGTTTTTTCTACATACCTCGAGGTATCAGGCATGGGTTGTGAACATTACAATGATGGGGTGGGTGGAGTGTCTCACAGGAGCATGGGGGGTTCCGCCGTGTGCTTGGTGGTAAACCTGGAAGTGGACCAGAAGTACTTCCAGTCCACTTCCACGTCCACTGCCGAGTGTGCTAGGGGCTCCCCGCCTGTGCCTCCCCAGCTCAGTGATTGGCTGCAGGAGGACCCTGGGTGCCCCTCCAGATTGCTGAGCTGGGGGATGTGGGGGGGGGGACCCTGCATGCTCCCTGGTGGACTCAAAAGCAGACTGGAAGGGCTTGTGGTCCACTTCCAGGTCTGCTGTCAAATGTGCTGGGGACCCCACCCCTGTGCTCCTGTGGGACACTCCATCCACCCCACCATCGCAGCATTTATGAGCCATCTGGTACCTTGAGGTATGTAGAAAAAACATTTAAAGCTGTGTCTATGTCCAAATCATCAAATCTTTCTGAATCGATTCAGAGGATTCTGATTCAATTTGGAGAGATTAAAGGGTCTCCTGATTCAATTTGGATTCAGAGATTTGGCCACCAAATTAGTCCGAATCTCTGACAAATCAAATCAGTGACTGAAACTTTGCACACCCCTACTTTGGAGGCCCTGGGGGGAGGGCAGCAGGGTGGGAGCCCAAGCCTGCAGTGCACAGCTTGTGCCTACCCCCGACCCAAACACAGATTGAGGCAGCATGTGCCCCCCTTCTCCCTTGGGAGTGCGTGCAGCAGTGGGGAGCTGGCCCCACCCCTGCCTGCCAAAAGAGCCACCTGCAGCACTGTCCCGCTCCCTGCTGGAGCCCTGCAGCTGTGTATTGTGGCTCTGGGGCCCAACCTCCACACACCACCCAGCTGGGCAGCATCCCCAGCCCTGTCCAACTTCCTCCACCCCTCCACAACTTTCTTACGGGAGCTGCTCTCCAGGCTGCCTGGCATATACCTGCACATGTCCCCCCCTGCCTGACCGCCCTCCACCCATTCCCCTTGTAGGCTGCAACTCTGCCAGCCTGAAGAGGGCTCATTGCAAAACTGCAAAATCCTTGGGATTCTCTGCTAAAATGAGAAAGCTGTGTTTTACTCCAGTAAGGGGCAAAACCATGTTTTACTCATTTTTTCCATGGGAAACAGAAAACCCAGATTCCTGCTTATAAGGTAGTACTTTGATAGGTAACCTATAGTTCTTAACTTTTCTAGTCCTAGACAAGTGAATTGTGCCATGTTTATAGTGCAGTGATTCTCAAACAGGGTGCTGTGGCATGCTGCAACAGGTTCATGCTCTGGGGTGGTTACAACGCTCCCTAGTGGCCATACAATCCCTGCCCAGCTCCAATTCTAGGGTGCCCTCCCCTCCTAACTTGCCCCCATGCCTTGGATGCAATTTTTCTCTTTGGAGGGAGGCTGCCTAAGGCTCATAGAGCAAGCTTAAACATAGGTGCTGTCCTTCCCAATACATACTCCCATGCCCTGCAGGTGATACTCTTCCCTGATGTCACACACCCCTCCTTGGCTATGGGTTACTTGGTCTCCAGGTGTGGTCCCTGACCTTTGTTCTTGCTAGACCCTGGCCCTGCCTAGGCCAGTTGAGATCTCTAGGCCAACCCCAGCGGTCTCTGGCAGTGGTCCCTGAATTGTGGTCTGCCTAGATCCTAGTCCTGCTCCTAGGCTAGTGAGACCTTCAGGCTCCCTGACCCTGCTGACACTTGCCCCTCCTGGGCTCTGGGCCTGCTGACACACTCTCTCTGGGCTCAGGCACTCTGGCCCCAGGCTCTTTCTCTTCTCAGCCCCTCCTGGGCTTGGGCTTTCTCCCTCTAGGCTACAGGCCCTCTATTCCATCTGGCCCCTCCTGGGTTGATGACCTGCTGACTGACACATGCTCTTCCTGGGCTACAGGCTCTTTGTCCCAGTCAGTTTTTGGCTGTGGTCCCTGACCTTCAGTTGGCCTACACTCTGGCCCTGCTCCTTGGCCAGTAAGACCTTTGGGCTCCCTAGTTCTGCTGACACCTCCCCCTCTTGGGCTCCAGCCCTCTGGACCCCAAGCCCTCTCTTCTTAGCCCCTTTTGGGCTCAGGCATTCTTCCCATGCTTAGTGTTGCTTAGGCCAGTTCAGTTGCTCTTCTAGGAGTGCTGCTGCTAGGAGCTCCTCTCTCTGGCTCCTGGGGCTACCGGGCCTGGCCAGATCTGGCCCTGGGCTTATATGCTTCAAGCTCAGTCCCCTTCTGGTCAGGTGACTCCCTAATCACCCCCTCCCCACCACCACCTGCAGGCTGCTTCTCTGGCACCCTCTCCTCTTAACGTGGCAGGTACCATAAGTGCTTTGTCACATATGCTGGGGTTCTGAGACCCTTTCAAGAGTTCCTCAGGGTGCCATGCGATGTTAGCACTGTTATGTTTGCAAATATGATTCACAAAATAAACCCAGAGATTTCATATAAGAACCCACTGTGTCAAAAACAGTCTGACCTGTTACCATCTTTCTGAGTTATCTGAAAAACAATAATTGCTTTATTATTTTGCTATAGTAAAAAATAAAGTGAAAAATAAAATACTATTTTCCATGGGGGGCCTTGAGTTTAAGAAGTTGAGAATCACTGTCCGAAGAGTTTGTATCCTGTGTTATAAATAACGCTATCAACTCAAAGATCCTCAAAATTATTCTATCAAGAAAGAAATAACACAGATAAGGATCTACATAGTTTACATTAAGATGCAAGAGGGAAAGTAATGGGACAAGCAATGGTATATCTGAGACTGGTGTGCAGTTTAAAAAACATCTCATTAATGGCCTCAACCAGGATGCTCTGGAGCACCATAATCTCTTCATGAGAGGCAATCTCTCACCCTCCACTTGAGCTGGAATTTAAAAAATTGAGCACTGCTTCACCCTAGTGTTGTCACACTTCTCCCAAGAGTGGAGTGCTTCACTGTCCTAGAATATGATTCTGAAGAACCAAACCCTCTCCTAACTGAAATTTTGATTTCTGTTTTGTATCGCCTCCAAAGGGCAGGCTACTCCAGAAACACCATAGATAGTAGCCTTCAGAAACACTCTAGATGCCCAAGGATATCCTGATGTCAGCTGACACCAATTTCTTATTCCAGTTTTCAGGGTCCTAATAGTAAAGTACCCCTAGTAATTCACCAGTAGCAAAGAAATAGGATAGAACGGATAGTTTAGTGTAGCACATTTAGCATCAGCTTAAACAGAAGGCTGAATCTCACAATTCCCTGTGAACAGGTTCTGATGGACTGTAAGCTGAGGTACATAATGACCACCTAAGTCGCATGATATTGCCATTTCTGCTTTCTCTTTGGATGTCTAAAACGTTTATAAACATGAAATGGGACATTCAAGGTAATTTCTCCATATGAACACACACAGGCCTAAAGATTTTTGCTTTCCACAAACATTTTTGCAAATAAAAAAAATCTATATGAATACTCACAAAAAACTGATAAAAATATTGAGAATTTAAAAGGAAATGTCTAGATTTTATTCAAATGATTTCTCATGAACATGTTTTTGTAATACTTAATACAGCACAAATATGAATATACCATTCAAGATGTAATTCTTTGGTAGTCAAGTCTTCCCAAAACTTTCTACCCGTATGTAAGTACTAAATAAAACTTGTGTTTGGTGCAATACTTCTGAAGCTATCAGTTGACCCAGATCATATTTGCATATGCATGGTACACTTTCATGCTTCTCAGGAAAAACCCTCAGTTTCAAAACCAAAAGATCTATCCTCAGACTACTTTTGTTGAACTATGGAACCTTAATGTATTTCCTGAGTTCCAGGTATTTCTTTTGGACTAGATAAAAAGTGACATTTGTATGTCATTCTGAGTCACCTTTGTCAAGTATTTGTGCAAATTGCATCCAGGCTCCTGTACTGGTAAGACTTTGCCAGATTTCTTCATTTAAACAGAGGAGGCTTCATAGCTGATTTTTTACACACACTACAGCATATTGTAAACTGAGTTTCAATGTGTAAACTTTTTGAATTTTTCATAAATTTTTACTAGTGATGCTTTGTTCACAAGCAAATATTTGACAGTTGTTTCATTATGAAATGAATCTATTTACCTAAAGTATCAGCCATCTAAATGAAAGCCTTGAACCCCATGCCAGAGCCTTGAATAAGCAGAGTGAAATGACTTGTGTGTGACCTAATCTGTTGCATCTATGGTTGTTAAAGGCCACTGCTCAGAGATCTGACTTGATGGCAATTAAATAAACCAGAAAATTATCAGGTAACACTCTTTGCAGCTGATTGAAAGAAGAGATTGTTAATTTCTAATTTGATCTATACCGATGTTAACGTAATCTATTTTTTTTCTAACAGTAATTTTGCAAGCCAGGTATGATTCAAGGGTACTGGTAAGGGAAACATTTTAAATGACCACAGACTCCTTAGTCTTATGACCTAGCTTCTCCTAACCTCTTAACCGTCTTAATTATTAGGCAATCAAAGGGCCAAGAGTTTGAACTTCGTCTTAAAAGGGCCTTGTCACACATTCACTTGCAAAAGTTGCAAATCATTGGAATGTAACGTATTAAAGTTAGTATGTGTTAGGAGACAACCTTACCTAAAAAGGGAATAATTTTGCAATTTCATGAGGGCATTTAACATGTGCTGAAGTGCTTGAATGTGTGTCTTAATGTGTGACATCACCCTTTGTAACAGGTCCAGTCAGGGAACAGAAACTGCAAAAAATGTGACCAATCATAATGCAATAAAAATGAATAATAAATTACTATAGCAAACACAGTTTGTGAGTAAAGCATAACATGGTGGACGCCAAAATACATTTGTATCACTTGTCTGTTGGATAATGCATTTGTAACACTTTACAGGTAGAATAAAGGCTGAAATTCATTGATTAAACTGTTCGCTTTGAATAGCTTACTTGGGTGTAATTGAAAGGCATATCTGAAAGTACTGCTCTTACACAATGCCCTGCTATGAAAGCTGTTCTGAACTTTTTAACAGGTAATCCTGAAATTTGGGTTGAATATGAATGAAGAGCCAAACATTACATTCTTAAATGTTCACTCATTTGCCATTCCTAGGTTTCATATAAGGCATTTTAGAATATTTAAATGATCGTTAGATAGTTGTTTTAACTAATTGCAATATGTGAAAAGTGGGTAGGGGTGCCTTAACCTTAGCCCTTGCCTTTGGGTGGGTTGCGTGACACAGGAGGCAGTTGGGGCCAGGCACGGCTGTGGCCACCTGCTCCCTGTGGGGGTGCAAGCCCTGAGGAGAAGAATGGGAGCCAGGCACAGCTCTGGTCACCTGAGGCCTGTGGGGGTGCAAGACCCCAAGAAGGAAAGCTGGGGCCAGGTATGGCAGCAGCCACCTGAGCCCACTGGGGAGGAAAGCCCTGTGGCCCCAAGTGAAGGGAGCAGCATGAAGCCCCAGTGAAGGGGGCCGAGATCTGGAGCCCTGAGTGAAGGGGGCAGAGATGAGTAGCCCCAAGTGAGGGGGCGGTGTGGAGCCCAAGTGAAGGGGGCAGAGATGAGTAGCCCCACACGAGGGGGGCAGTATGGAGCCCTGAGGAAAGGGGGAAGAGATGAGTAGCCCTGAGTGGAGGGGGTGGTGTGGAGCCCCAGGTGAGGGGGCAGTGTGGAGCCCTGAGTGAGGGGAGTAGGCCCAGGTAGGTCTTCAGACACCCGAGGCCGGAGTTGGGCACAGAGGATGAGTAAAGGGGGCTCAGCTCAAGAGAGAGAGGGGCGAGTCCTGACCCCGGTGAGTCCTCCACTGCTGGGAGGCCGAGTGTGGGTCAAAAGTAAGATCTTAAGTAGCACCACGACCTGCTGCTCCGGGGGGGAGGGAGAGTCCCCTGTGAGACCCTGGAGCACCATTTGTGGTGTGAGGTACCCTAGCTCCCACATCCAGGAAGGTGGACCCAAGAGAGAGAGTGGGGCTAGTGAGAGAGGCCAGAGGTAGAGTACCCCCTCAACTAGTCCATGCTGGGGCCAGGACCAGGACCACGAAGGTCAAAAGGGCCAGGGGCCCACCGCGAGTGACGCCCAGAGGAGAGGGCCTGGGGTCCCACCTGGCCTTGGAGGTGAGGCCAGGGCCTGTGTAGCCGAAGGTCCCGGGGGGACCACACCTGAGAGGGGACTGGATAGCTACTGGGAGCTCGGCAGCCCGAATGATGGCAGGGCAGGCCGCATGAGTGGAGGGATCAAAGGGGGGACCTGATAGGAGGATTCTAGAGCCCAGTGTGGGGCTGATGTGACTAACAGCCAGATGCCATCTGCAAGGCATGGGCTGCAGTGTAGGGGAGGTTCGGAGCCGAAGATGGTGCCTCCTGGCATTGGGGCATAAAATGGGCAGCCTCCCGCTTAATTAACTTCCTAATTAATAAGCACAAGGCATGGCAGACGAGTCAGGTGAGAGGTGTGATAACTGGCTTGTCATTTCCTGGGGGCTCCCGCGCCACTGAGAGGCTCACCAGGTTACCCACTCCTGGCAGGGTGCAGTTTTAGGTCATGCCCAGGACCAGGAGCCTCCAATCCATCCCCTACAGCTCCTCCCATACCTCCAGGATGATACACAAAGCCTCACAGCAAGGCAATGTTACTGCCTTCCCAGGCAGCAGGGAACTGAGCTCTTTATATAGGCAGCCAGAGATCTAAAATGGCTGCCTTAATCAAGCACTTGCTGGCTGCTTAACTTTGATCTTAAAGTGGCAGGTACCAACAGTGCCCTGCCACATACTTTCCCCCTTTAAATGGTACACCAGCGTCTGTGGGAGCCCCCAAGTGACGAGCATCCTCAAAGGTGCTCTGCCATAGGCCTTAATGTGGTACATGGTACAGGCTTCACTGAAGTAGAGGAGGGTGGCCAGCACACAAGCCTTATAAACCAGGACCTTCGTCAACTTTCCAAGATCTCTATTTTCAAAGATACGTTGTCATAGCTTGCTGAAGGCAGCACTGGTGCAGTTGACCCGGTGCTGGACTTTTTCATCGATGGTAGCCTGTTGAGAGAGGTGGGTGCTGATATATGGAAAGTGCTCCAAGTACTCCAGAGTCTCCCCATCTATGTAGATAATGCGAGGGATGTTCAGCTGACCTAGGGAGGGTTGGAGGACCTTCATCTTGGCAGCGTTCAAGGACAGGCCAAGTCTCTTATACAAAGCATTGAAGATATCTAGTGTTGCTTGCACATCCTGTGCAGAGTGAGCCATCATGCAACAATCATCTGTAAACTAAAGGTTGTGGATGTCCTTGGTGGTGAGTTTTGTTTTTGCCCAGAAGCACCCAAGAATGAAAAGCTTTCTGTCCAGTCGATACTGGATACTGATTCAGGATGCTGGATCATCTCCAGGGATCCTGGTTTTCTCTGATAAAAAAAATCATAAATTCTCTGACAAAAAATTGCAAATTCTCTGATAACCCCCCCCAAACCTGTTATTAAAATTAAAAGCTCCCTGCAGCCCCCTCAGCCCTGCTAGTGCCCCTCACTTGCCCCCCAATTACTCCCCAGCCCTGCTGGTGCCCTTCACTGCCCCCAGAACAGCCCCCACCCTACTCGTGCCTCCTACCCCCACCCAAAGCCCCTGCCCCCCAGCCTTGCTGGAGGGGGCCCTTATCTGCCAAGGCTGTGGGGCCAGGGACCCAAGTATGCAGCTCCCTGCTCCCAACAGCAGGCATCTGCAGCAGAAGCAGCATGAAGTCGGCTTGCCACTGCTGCTGCCTCCTTGGGCAGTGGTGGGGCTGGCTCCTGGCTCACCACAGCCCTGCTGGTACCCCCCAGCTGTGATCTGCAACCCCCCCAGCTCTGCCAGAGGGGCCCCCGGCTCCTGCAAGCCCCACTTACCTCACAGGGTCTAGGAGAAGAGTGAAGCTGAGCTGAGCCCGCAGCTGTGGCTGACTGAGCGCCTCAGGCCCCACCCTTTCCCCTCCCCATCCACCTCCGGGGAGGGCTGGGGTTTCCCCTCCTGTTTGCCAACAGCTCTTGCAGGCTGGAGCTCAATCAGCCTGCAGAGCTGTTTGCTAAAGCAGGGAATCTGTGGGTTTCTCTGCTAAAAGGAGAAATCCATGTTTTCTCTGATAAAATATGGAAACCTGTGATTTTATCTGTTTTTCCATGGGAAACGGAAAACCAGGATCCTTGAATTCATCTTGGATGAGGTGGATGATGACGGTCAGGTAGATAGAGAACAGGGTGGGGGCGATCACACAGCCTTGTTTGACCCGTCTAGATGTGGAAGGTGTTGGAATGATTCAAAGTATGGACTACTCTAGATAATGTGTATTTTTACTCTGTGTTACAGGTATACAAAGACACTAAGGCCACATCCAATGAGCGCGCACATGCCTCTTGCCCCACCTCAAACCCCTTTGAGGCGGGGCAA